AAGTAGTATCATTTGTTTAATAATTATAATTTTACACTTGTCTTGTGCCATATCAGTATTTATGTATTATAACATTATTCTTTCATGCATAGTTAGTTTATACACTCTGTAGCATTGTTTTTTGGTTTGTAGTTATTCATTATACTTTTGTATATCTGTACTTGTCTGTATATCTTAGATATGTGTATTATATTCAGTATCTGATAAGTAATCACAATATCTGACATGTAACCACTGAATCCAATATGTTACATATAATTGCTCAACCATAATATGTGTTAGTTATTATATTGTTCTGTATTTGTTCTGTTAGTTCTATCTGTATTATTATCATTATTATTGTTATTATTGTTGTTATTATAGTGTCTGCAATTGTATTATTGTTTATAATACATGTTAAATGTTTTATTTATTCAATTTAATATGCTGTTTAGCATATATGTGCTTGTTTTTGAGCATTAATCGTTTGGCTGTAATATTATTATATGTGTTATTATTTGATTTATGCTGTAACATATGTGTGCTCGTTGACAGTGTCAATCATTTGTACTATTGTAATGTTAATAGCAGAAGAGTAGCATTTGCTTTATTAATCTTTTTAACGTTTGTCCATAGTATGATCAGTTAATTTATTATAACATGATCTCTGTAATATTATAGTGTATTTCAGCATTTAATAATCACAGTAAGTGATACTCATTGTAGTTTCAACATTGCCTACATAGATTACATTATTACTGGGCCAATGATCATAATCACTAAGATGACAATCATATAATGTCTGGGTTGTATGTAGTACAGTAGATTGTGTGTCTGCAGTGTATTGATTTGTGTTTAGGATACTCAGACAGGTGAGTCAAGTTCTGCATTGTATTATGCTGTGTGTGTGCATGTGATGCATAGAACTGTATAGAGCATAGATGTAGTAGAGTGTAGATAAAGTGTAGGCAGGGAGCTCAAGGCTCATAACCTGTTAAGAAAGGGAAAGAGAGGTTATGTGAGAGGCTTAGAGAGATCACACAAAGAGGGGGGGATAGTGGACTCGGCTTGCTCTCTCACGGCTTGCTTCATTGTCCGTTGATTAGTTAGTCTATATATACTATGTAGGTATGTCTCAGATGTAGAATGTATGATGGAAGGTATTCCATCATCGTTTGTCATTGCTTGTAATGTAGTTTATATCATCTGAGACATACTCTCGTGTAGTCTCGTCTTAACAGTCCTCTTAAGTAAGTCTTAACACAGTATCACACTGTGTAGGAACAGAGGTTAGAGATGCCCAAAACATCATACAGAATCGGCTACCAAGAAGCTAGAAGCTCTTCCATGTGTTAGGTACTACAAGCAGTTTACTACTTTAAAGTTCGTAGCTCCATTTATGTTCCCCAGGCAGGCATTCAAATGCGAGTGTGATTCAGTGAAGGACTTCCTGTCAACCTTGTTACAGTAATACTATGATCTTTCAAAACAAATTACCAGAGCATACCTCCTGTCCCTCCACCCAGCTGTTCTCAGTCTCTTCTCCTTGTTTAGTATTTGGTATACTTTACACCAAATTACTTTTTTGCTTCACCCAATAAAATGAGATCAGCTATAACGTTTTGAGGTAGTACATGTGTCAGTGCCACCTGTAGCAAAACGTTCTGGGGTTGCTTGAGGTTCCAGATCACATTGGACAGTTCTTCCACAACATGCGACGAAGATCTCCTCTGAGCATGCTGGTCTTTGTTGGCAGGTGCACATGCTCCTTCACTCATTCATACAATATATAAGGTAGTTCAGAAATTTGAAGAAACTGATTTGCGCTTCCGGGAAGTTCCGGCAATAGAGACTTGAGTTGTGAGCTGCCACACAGCTTTATCATTCACTTCTTTGGGAGCAGATCTTGCACTTCTATACATACCTCGTTCCACGTGTACTTGACGCCACTTGAATTGGGGACAACCTAGTGATATTTAAATCAGCTCTCATTGTCTACATTCTTGCTCGCCCACACTGTTTACATCACTATTCATATAGTCACCTATTGCATACTACTATTCCTCAAGGAGAATATATTGTCGTATTTATAACAATGAGTTGGTTGTAAGTGTATATTTACTACTGTATTCTGATTGAGAAGTTTGTCTAACAATGTTTTGGTCAACTTACTCAGTAAAAAGGCAGCGTTTGCATTTGCTTGTAGTATAATTTATATCATAATATAGTACGATTGTATTGTAGCTAACAATAACTTTGAACAGGCTTTGCCCTTGCGGTGGGCGTAGGGCTCTGCATAGCGTCAGGCGGAATTGCATTGTCACCAGTTGTGACAACTGCTATAGCGACAGTAGGCATGTATAAAACATTGTTTCCCTGTATTTTGACTTCAATTCAACTCATAACTGCATTTTAGGCGTAGCAGCTTTCAGGGCATCCTTTATTCATGTTATATCCGAATGATACAGTTTCAGACTCACTACATGGGTACAAGAATCCTCTCCTTCTCTAAGTTCTCTTGCTGTATCCGAGACATGTAGAATTTCAATATTGATTTCTTATATTTGGCTACTAGTAAAATATGAATTCTGCACAATATGATTTGGTGTCTCTCATTACTGATTGAGTATAATCTTATTTAAGTTATTATGCAGCAGACGTCGCGAGGGTTATCTGGTGGACCTCTTCCCCTTTTAGAAACAACTCCAAATTTAGACTGAGTGGGTGCCTCACGCTGATCACGCATGACGTCAAGTACGAAAATCAGATGTGGTGCCCCTGTATAAGTATATAAATCATGTGTAAAGCTGGTTGCACGCTTGAACGCCCCTTCTTTCTTCAGCCCGTGCACCTTCAACCAACGTTGAAGGTCGAACGATGGGGTGTGTGCGATTTCCTCGATGATATATGTTTTCTTTTATCTTTTCAATCATGAATTTCTGACTTTCTATTTATTTACTTTGTTGGGTGCGATGTGAATCCAGGTGTATTGTTTCTTGTATAGCAGGTTTGCAATTACAGTCCTGTTCTTCCCCTTCTGCCCTCACTAAAACGGTTGCCTTGTTTGATCTATCAGGCATATTCGCCTGTATAGGCGACGTTATCTTGGATATCTTCGATTGTATCGTCGGATGTGTTGAATGGATCATAGCAAGTGAGGCCGTCCCTTTTTCCCGAGATAGAAGGGTTTGTGTGCTGAATGTTCCGCTTGTAGCTATCGCAGGATGCATAACAGGAATATGCGATTGTATCACCGGATGTTTGTGTTGTGGGTTAGTAACTCTCCTTTCCCCTTTTCCACGTCGGGTTCACCATGAGCGTCTTCGCTGATGCGAAAATTGAATTAACAGGAGAGTCTAGCAGAGGGCTTCAGGAAATCATGATTACCACCCAGTTCACGCGCATACCCATTCCTGAAGCTCAGATAACATTTATCTCTTCGAGCAGTCTCTTCTTACGCTTGTTTACGTCTGATCGTGTCTTAAGATTTTCATCAACGTTTGCTTTATCTGAGAGATGCGTTGTATACCAAGTATTTAACCCGGAGATCGTATATGTACATCCTGAATACATGACGAGTTTATAACGTTGTATGAGTAAAAATGCATGAGTGATTGAGAAAGCAGTTACAAAGGAATGGAGAGCAATGCATAGCAGGAATAAAAGGAGAAGAATGCAAAATACAAAGCAAAGCAAGGGTGGAAGGGAGATAGGCATCGTATAGCGTGAGATAAAGTAAAAATAATGAGTTGAAAGTGAAAAATTCTGCAGAATAGATCCTCCCGTTCCTCCAAAGATGCATATATAAATATAATGTTCTTGTTTGACGTGCGAGAATACGCAGCGTATTAATTCTGATTAGTCCTTTTCGTCCGAGGCGAGAAAAGTTGTAGTGTTCGCAAATACTCGTCAACCACAACAAATAGAGGGATCCTCATCTTCGGGAAGTAGGACATTCACCTCCCGAAACACCAGCTCAATAAGCTCTCCCGCATGGTCCTCCAACCGAATTCCAAGTCGTTCGAATCGTCTTATCCAAAACGCCCAAAACGCAACACGCGATGTACGCCACGGCACACTCCTAAACCTCGACTGGTCGAAATCAAGTAACCTCACTGCCTTCACCTTGGGGTATAATTTCCGATTGACGAGGACTGGAAATGCCGTTCTAAGGGAATTTACGATGTGTCGTTGTTCGGCGTCGCATTCTGATCGGAGTACTAGTGCTGCTTCTGTTGTACGAGGTCTTGTTTCTCCGATGAAGTACAGTCCGCGTATACCGATTCGTTCGATTTGGGGATGTCCGGGGAGGGCTTGTTCGCTTGCCCAGTGGACTTGTAGGACCAATTCCTTGAGGTTTGGACAGCGTGTAAGTAACATTTCGGGGCCTCTTTCTGGAAGGTTGTCTGAAGTGGGATAAGTGGGGGGTGGAATAGTGGTGGGGGATTCCACATTTGGTTCTCCAGCAAAATCGAATTCCAGTGTGGTCAATTTTGGACCGTGCGCTGTAAAGAAAAGGTGTGCGTCCGCAAGGTCATCTTGTCCACAGAGGACTATTTGTCGGAGGGAAGGGAGGTCGAAGTCGGCCATGAGCGTGAGGATGACGGAGGGGTCGAAATCAGGAGAAACTAGTTCTATAGTGTGTAAATGCGGTAGGGAGATAGGTCCAGCTGCCTTGAGTTTGCTGAGTTGGCCAAGGGTAATGTCCTGTTGGACGCACATAAACAATGATTGGAGATTCGCCGTAATTGGCATGCGGCAGAACATTTCTATCATCTGTTCTGGTCCAATATCACACGTCCAGTCGAGTGAACGTATCGCATGTGGGCAAGACTCAAATATTGCCGTTATTAATTCCATGGGGACGCTTCCAATTTCTTCAAATGCACCAACGGTCAGAACACGTAGGTTCGGACAGCAGCGAATCACGCGCGCAGCAGCAACACCCTTCTCTTGTGTCCAGCATTGTGTATTAATTTCAATCCGTCGGACATACCATCCTGCTCCGTGGCCTCTGCGGGCTGCGTCCGCTTGTCTGCTTTCTTCAAGGGCTTCAGCAAGCATTGCCCAGTCATACGAGTCTTGAAGGAATAGATATTCAAAAATAAGTTCCCGGGCAAGTTTACGCCACGACCTTGAGACAAGACAGAGAGTTTCTTTCGTCCTGTGGCTTGCCTTTAGTTCCTTGAGGAAGACACCATACCCGTTTGTAATATCCGACACGTCAAATGGTGACCTGTGTAGAATTAAGCTGAGTTAAGAAAGATCACATGCATATAATATATAAAGAAACAGACGCGTAGGACGTGTCGTATCCACCGACGACACGCGTCGCAAAGACAAATATCATCCGCCATAACTCGACAGGTAAACGAGCAGACGCGCTCGTCGAAAAGGGGTCGAGTGCCGGGTCGGATGCCCCGGTCGCTGGTAGCGCCGAAGGTGGTGGGAAGAAGGGAATGTTCATTGCGAACGGTGGGTGCTGCTTGGACGCGTCGACGTTAGGCTCCGGTTAGGCTCAGGTCAGGTCGAGGTCAGGTCAAGGTTAGGCCCGTGTAAGATTCGTCACGTGCAATCATCGAAAGCAACACACTATTTCTTCACATACAAGTGTCTTGAAACTGACTGCTTTCTTAAATCGTCATGCTTGTTAACTAGATACAGTTTTATGTATTTGTACTACACAGAATAAGGTGTGTTATTGTTTGCTTTACAAGGAGTTACTAGGTAGCAAGTTTCGGATGGATGAAATACGACACAGCGGACGCGTCCTGGACCCCTACAGTAAAGCTGCAATAATATTGTTTGGTTACTGACTGAAAGTAGTATGGTATAGTATAGTATATTTCCTGGCATAGGTCCCTAAAAAGAAACACCAGGACTGCTAGTCTATTGTACAGTACAGAGTAGTTTATCTACAATAAAGAAATTACTCTGCTCAGCAATGTCTAGGGAACTACTAATACAATAGGCACTTAATGCTTCTCCAACTGTGTACCAGTAAACAAGATTGAAGTATACAGGCATTTATGAGACTTAAGAGATAATGGGTACACAGGAGAAGATACTATTTTCATAGTAGAAATCTATCATGAACAGTACAGAGATTATAAATGGAAATCGTTAATAGAGCTAGAAGATTCTGACAAAGGAGAGTTAAGGTAAGGAGAGTGTAATAGAGAATCAGGAGGAATATATAAAGGGGTTTGCTTAAATATACTAAGGATATTAAAGGTATACTGAGCTAGAGAGTTTATTAAAGAATGAGTATAATATAAATGTTTAAAGAAAAACAATGCTAAGTAGTAATCCTCCTCTAGAAGGGGTGGAGGAGAGGGAGTACAAAGTAGGAAATCTTGTCTTAGTTTAGAGATTTCAGAATTTTGACATTGAAAGAGAGTATGAATAGGATCTTCAATTTTATTACAGTTGAATCTACAAAGTCTTTTGTGTTGAGGTATAGAACCATGTCTGTTAGAAGTAGTTCTAGCAAGCTGAACAAGAGCAAGTATGTGGTCAGAAAGAAGAAGTCTAGTAAAAGCAATTCTGTGCTCAGGGATTGTAACACTAAGATAATGTCTAAAGTGAATAATTTTTAGAATAGGTTGGTTTTTTTTATTAAATTCATGTCTGTCTTTAATAAGAGTAGTTTGAGTAGAATGTAGAAGAGAGTTGTTTAAGGTGTTGTAACACGATTTTTTAACAGTTTTAATAAATTGAGAAACTATTTTATAAGAGGTATGTAGGTTTAGGATTTGTTAAGTATTATCTGAAGTAGTGTTTGATAAATTAATAAGAAGATCTCTATACTAAGAGCAATGTTTGTTGTTATAAAGTTGTATAGATTCTTGAAGTGCAAAGAAAGTAAAGTGTGAGGGAGGTAATTGTAGTAAGTATATTAGGTAGTTTAGTACAAGAATTGTTTGTCTAAATTGTATAGGAAGAAGGCCAGTTTCTGTAAAGAGAGGAGTTAGAAGAGACTTGGATTTAGACCTAATAGTCTTCTAAGGAAAGTATGTTGTACAGATTGTAGAAGGAAGAGACATTTTTTATTAGTGTCAGGAGTAGATTCACATACATAAATAAGATGAGGATTGATTCTAGCAAAATAGAGTTGAATTCCTTGTTTAGGAGGGATTATACTAATATGAGATTCTAAGGCTAGTGTAGTGTGTGTAATAGACCTTGCTTTTAAGGCTTTGTTTGAGTAGTGAGAGTGAAAAATGTTATTTTGTAAAGAGTCAAATATTACACCTAAGTACAAGAATTTGTCAACATAGTTTAAGATGTTTGAATCAATAGAGAAGGTAGGTTTTATAGTTGTATTACCAAATACTTGAGCAACAGTTTTAGAGTGGTTGATTTGAAGAAAATTTTTTGAGCACCAAGAAATAATATTATTTAGTTTAATTTGTAAGACAGTAGGAGAAGTAGAGAAAATAACAATATTATCAGCTTGTTCTAAATGAGAAATATAAGAGTTATTTAGAGAGATGTCAGCTGGGTGACTAGGAATGTATAAGTCTGAGAAGAAAATATTCTATAAGTGAGGAGATACAGGATCACCTGTAAGAATCCCTATATTAGAAGAAAAAGAATCTGAGGTCTGATAGTTATAAAAAATAGAATAGTTAATTGATTTATATAGAATTCTAAGCCAGTCAAAGATAGGGCCAGAGATGCCAAGTTTGTACATTTTATACCAGAGAGCAGAGTGATTTGTAGAAGGGAAAGTATTAGTCATATTAACATATATAACATAAAGAGGAAGTTTAGAGGCTTTAGCCTTATCTATACAAGTTCTAAGAATAAAAGTGTTGTTATGGATTCTGTAAGATTGTCTGAACCTGTTTTGTGAGGAGAGAATAATATTATTAGATTGGGCCCATTTTCAAAGTCTTTTATCAATTAGAAGAGTAAGAACCTTAAGAAAACAGGATTGTAGACCTACAATTCTATAAAAGTCAGGATTGTTAGAATTTTTGCCTTGTTTAAGAATAGGGACTAGAGTAGCATTTGTCTAGGAAGTAGGTAATGACAACTGTTGAATACATTGGTTCAACAGATGGATTGTATTTTCAAGAGGAATAGATAGAATTAGTAAGTAGTTAGTTTTATCAGGTCCTAAAGCTGACTTTATATTATGTAGTTTAATATGATTAAAAGCTGATTAGAGTTCTTCTATAGAGAAAGGTAGAGAGAATAGTTTATCTGAGGAATTATCAAGTGTATTAGTAGGAATAGAGTCAGATAATAGTAAAGTATTAAAATAAAGAGTAGAGTCAAAAGAGAGAGGTAAAGAATTTGTAATATTCATTCTAGCTTGAAAAGTAGATTGTAGCTGAGAGATAGAGACTAAAAAGGATCTTGGTTTAGGCTTTATTAAAGAGGAGATAAGATCCCAGAACTGTCTATCAGTTTGACAATGTAAAAGTTTTTGTAAAGTAGACTATTTTTGTTTTCTTAATAGTGTTCTACCTCTGTGTGTAGCAGATTTGTAATTTTCATATGAGACAGTTAAGGAGGAGGGTAATACCTTATTATTATTTAAAAAGTTAGGTAAATTATAGAGAATTTTAGGAGTGTTTATGACTGGGTTTGAAATAGTAGAAGAGTAGATTTTAGGTATAAAAGGAGAGAAGATAGGAATACTAGGAAGAGTAGTAGCTTTTTTTGTAAGAGAGTCAGCTAGATTATTATGTTTGTTAGAAGAGTGCCCTTTCACCTAAAAGAAATGGATAGGGGCTAGATGATTTTGTATTAGAAGAAGAATGTTTTGTATAATATTAGAATTAACAATATTAAATCCTGTCTGTGAGTTTTTAATAGACTAGATACATATA